TAAAAAATATTGAAGCAATAGATTAAACAGTATATATTAATTAAATTTCTCTTATGAAAATTTTAACTATAAAATAAAACTCATAATTCTAATTTGAAAATAAAAAGAGAAAAAAATAATTTTGTTTTACGTATAATAAAAAATAACAACTATTAAAAATATCTGTAGATTTTTTAACGAAATAATAAAAGGCTTCTCTTTTTTTTTTTTTTACTTTAAATGAATTCAAAAATCATAATTTTCTAATAAATATTAAATTATTTTAATTACCTGAAAAGTAATTATAAATCTTAAAGTATTTATATCTAAATACTTAAACCAAATAATGAAAAGAAATGAAAATAAAAAGAAAAGAGAAGAACAAATTATTGTTGGTGGAAGGAATCGAACCTTAGACCTCAAGGCCAAAACCAACTTCATATCTAACCTTTAACCATTGCACCACCTAACACTCTGCTCCTCTATTTGTACATTAAATTTTCTTTATTGTTTACCGGCGCCATGTGGATTTCAAGAATAAAGAAAGAGGGGCATTAACGTTGTCCTTAAAGAAAGGGACATAGCGCATTAAATAGATACGTTATACCTATTTTTGTCTCTCTTTTTTTTGCCATAGTTTGGTCGCTTGAGTCTAATTAGACAATATTTGGGTTCCGGACTCTTCCTCATACTGGCCAACCCACCAACTCATCGTTATTGCTAGGGGTGTAGATGGATCGGGTTGATTTATTTTTATCAAAACCAAACCAACTATATCGGTTTAGATTGATTCGATTTTATCGGATTTTCGGGTTTTTTCGTTATGTGAATATTATTTCAATCTTACTTTGATAAATTTTTTATAAGTAAATATTATTCAGTAAAAATTAAAAAAATGACAAATATATGATATATTAAAATATTACTCCCTCCGGTCCACAATAAGTGACCAATTTGCCCTTTTATTTTTGTCTAAAATAAGTGTCCATTTATATAATCAAGAAAAAATTCAATTTATTTTTTCAAAATTACTCTTATGTACATATCCCTAAAGTCTTTTACTCCTCACATTAACTATGCTGCAATATTTAATTAAGGGTAGTTTAGTCATACTAACTATTTTTGTCTAGAATTTTGTATTTCTTTAATGGGTGTGTCCAAGGCAAATTGATAACTTATTGTGGACCGGAGGGAGTATTATGGAAGAATTTTCTTAGTAACATATGATAGTTATTTTTTAGTCGTCTAACAATAATTTTACATTGATGTACATTTTCAAGGTTAACCGAATTTAATAATTAAACATAAAAATAAATATGAACTTATATAATGATATGTTATATTTAATTTTAAATTATCGAAAAACTATTTCAAACTCGAAAAAGATATAAGAATTTAATAGATATTGACATATAAATATGAAAGAACAAAGAGATTGACGCATTTCACTAACACTTGATAAGAAAGTGATTATACGACCCATTATTTAAAGTTAATAAATATGGAGCACTTCATATTTAACTAAATATTACTTTCCATAAGAGAATCACAAATATTTCTAGTCATTTTAAAAGAAAATTCTATAAAAATCTTTCAAGCATATATAAAAATTATATATTTATATGTCGGTTTGATTCGGATTTTTTTTACTCAATAACAAACCAAATCAAACCAAACCTAATCGGGGTTTTTAATCGACTTGGTGCAGTTTTTCGGTTCAGTTTGTACACCCCTAGTTATCGCGACAAGCGCTTAGTGTTTGCAAAGACTTCCTAGATCAGCACGATCGCAACCTGTCACGACCCAAAAATCCTAACATATCGTGATGGCGCCTATCTCAATATTAGGCAAGCCGACAACCTCAATAAGCCACATTTTCTCTTAAGTTTGAAAATATAATATTTGAATTTTTTAGAAAATCACACAAATCACTGATATAAAATACATTCCCAAAACCTGGTGTCACTTAATACATGAGTATCTAAATGATAACAAAGACTAACTGATAAAAACACTGTCTGAAAAAAAAAGTAGAACAGTACAACAACTGAAAAGAAGAGAGTCAAGGTCTGCAGACGCCAAGTAGCTACCTCGATAGTCTCCACAAATAAAGCTCCAAAAAAAAACTAGCAACTTTGTGTCCGAAGGTATTTGGATCTGCACATGAGGTGCAAGGTGTAGTATGAGTACAACCAACTCAGGAAGTAACAAAATTAAATAAAGAGTTGAAAATAGTGACGAGCTTCACAGCTGAGTCCAATTACAGTAATTTCCAACATAAGATTTAGGGCATGCTTTCATGTTCAACATTTAACCCTCAACAGTAATTTTATATCAAGTTCGATTGAAAAAGAAGATAATATCTTTCAGAAATTTTCAACATAGTAATATATGACAATTGTAGTGCAATAAGCATGAAATCATATGCATCCTCTCAGGACCACAGTCACTCAGTCATTTCATTCACTCAGCACTCACATTCGCACTCAGTAAGTACCTGCGCTCATTGAGGATGTACAGACTCCGGAGGGGCTCCTACAGCCCAAGCGCTATAATCTGTACGGATAACTCACATGCTACATGGACAAGTCACGTGCTATAGTATAAATATCTGGATCCGCACGAACAACGCACGTGTTGTACGGACAACTCACGTGCTATAATATAATATCTCACAATTCGGCCCTCGGCCTCACTCAGTCATAAATCTCTCTAGTCTCTCGGGCTCTCAATAATCATGGAATCAACCCAAACAACAATGATATGATGCATCAATAATGAACAATAGAGACTGAAATAAAATAAACAAGTAAACTGTGACTGAGTACAAAATAATAATTAAGCAGATAGTTCAACATTTACACGACCTCTGTGGATCTCTACAGTGCCAACATATAATCTAAACATGATTTGTGGTGCAATTTCTCTACTACATGGAGAATGTATAGATAACAACAGATTATTCAACTACACAGTTCCATGAAATTTGACCAAGTCATAATTTTCTACGGTGCACGCCCATATGCCCGTCACCTAGCATGTGCTTCATCTCAAAACCGATCACATAACACAAAAATTCGGGATTTCATACCTTCATAACCAAATTTAGAACTGTTACTTACCTAAAATCGTGTAATTCTTTATTCTGCTATGCCCTTGCCACGAGAATTGGTCTCTGAAAGTCTCGTATCTAGTCACAATTAATCCGATTCAGTCAATACCATTTATTGTAATTAATTCCATAAGGAAATACTAATTTTTCAATAAAAAACTGAAATTGACTCAAAAATCGCCCGTGGGGCCCACATCTTGGAACCCGACAAAAGTTATAAAATATGAACGCTCATCTAACCACGAGTCCAACCATACAAATTTCACCAAATTCCTACATCAACTCGACCCTCAAATCTTTAATTAAAGTCTTTGAAGATTTCTACCATTTTCAAACCAATCTTTACCCATTTGAACTCAACAATCTTTCCATAAACCTTATTGATACGTATAAATAATACTCTTATACCCAAGAATCATACTCTTAATCACCCATCTTTACCCAAACTCGAAATTGAAGACTAGGGATTAAAACCTTTTCTCTTGGGTGAAGATCTTGTGATATTTCCTTGTTGGATTTCAAAGCTTGAACAAGATGTTGATGAACAAAGCACTTGAGTTTCTTCCTCTCTCTAGAACACTCTCCCTTCTCTTTAAAAATGTCGGTTTTTTGCTCCAAAATGAGTTTCAAGGGCTATAAATCGAAGTTGGGTCGGGTCAAAAATTAGAAAGAATTGAAATCACGACGCAAATTTGCGATCGCATAACACGTATGCGGTCCGCAAACTAACCGCATAATTGAAGCTCCATAACGAGGGTCGCCTGGATAGGTCTGCGGTGATTATGTGGCACCGCAGAACAGGTCTGTGGTCGCATAATGCACCGCATATTTTCTGAAATCTTGCCTCACATCGGCTTCACTCTGCAGCCATTATGCGGTCCGCAAAGTGATTCTACGACCGCATAGTAGGCCATAGAAATGTCCTCTTCTGCCGAAAATTTTTCTTTACTCCTCAGTGCCATTGTTCAACCCAAAAAGTTCGAGCCGCGGCGAGCAAGCTCGCTGCGAGAAATTTCTATAATCTTTGTACTAATTGATCTACCTCGGCACTACCAAACCTTAATTNAAAAAGTCCGAGCCGCGGCGAGCAAGCTCGCCGCGAGAAATTTCTATAACCTTTGTACCAATTGATCCACCTCGGCACCACAAAACCTTAATTTACTTAGCAAAAATTCTCCGGAGTCATTACACATAAGTCAACATCCGGTCAACCCTTTTCAACTTAAATTCTAAACCTTGGAACTAAGTGTTCTAAATCATTCCAAAACCTCACGGGACCCGAACCAAGTACCTTGGCAAGTCAAATAACAATTGTAAATTAAAATTTGAACAGTAAATGGGGAAACAGAGTTATAATACTCAAAACGACCGATCGGGTCGTTACACAAGCTAGTGTCCCGTGATCACGAGACACCAAATATCACCAAAAATATGCATTTTCATTTTGGGTTTAATGTATGCTGAAATACCTTTAAGTCTTGGGATTCAACTAAACCATTCAGACAAGTCTCAAACAGTTATACCAACTTATGTATATGCTCGAAACGCAAATATAAATCACAAATACTAGAAATGAGGGGTTAATTTTTTTATAACATATTAATAATATAAAAAAGCTTCAGAGACATCTATTGTGCTGAAATTTGTATTTCAAATTAATTATAAATTTTTTGTACAATGCAAAGAGGAATTTTATATTGCTGTGGTCCTTCAAAATTTATAAATTGCATTACAAAAGAGGGTTAGTGTCACAAGAGATGTTATTTACGGTTTTACACAAGAATTAATGTTTACTAATTAATTAAAGTTTCAAAGTTTCCAATTTCCGATATGAATTATTTCCTTCTTTTTTTTTTATTAGCACGATATATGGAATAATAATATTTTTCTTATACTCGGCAATTTTACCAACAGTACATCCCAACTACCGGAGATGGGAACGATGAGATCAGAGAAGGATAGAGATCTGGAACGTCTGATTCCGGTGGGAACCTTAGCCTTAGAGATCAATGGTTCTAAATCCTCTTCGCCTTCTGAATCTCCCTCAGCTTCCTCGTCCCTTTCTCATTCCTCCGGCAAAGAGGTCGCTTTATCTCTCTCTTCTCACCCTTTCGAACACATAATAAATATACGTAGCGGATTCAGAATTTAGACGTTGTGGATTTTGAGTTGAGCCAGTGATTCTAAAATGTATATCTAATTCTATCGAAAATAGTGTAAGCTACTATAATTATGTGTTGTTGGATTATAAATATTAATCATGGATTGGTATGATATGCATGGGACCCTTCCGTTAAGTTTGTTTTTTGTGTTTAATTTTCCTCTAAATTGTTTTTCTTGGCAGGCATTTGGCAAAGTAATTCATAGCTGGATTTCAAAAAAATTTATTAGCGGATGGTTAGTTCCCTAATTCTGCTAAAATATCTCTTTAATTCCTTAAAGTCTCTTTTTTTTTTTTTTTTTTTTTTGTTTTTTTTTTTTTTTTTTTTTTTTGGTTTTGTTTGTGCATACTCGCATAATGTATTACTTTGTAGATGTTGCATTATTGCTACATGGAGAGAATTGGGAAAGTGAAGAAACATTCTTTTATTTTTCTGGAGAGAATTGGGAAAGTGAAGAAACATTCTTTTATTTTTCTTACTATTCATAGCAAATACCACAACATTTGGAAGTTATCAAATTATGTGGGATTCAGGTAGGAGCATGTTAGACATGAATTGAGTTAGGGGAAAATAAATAAATAGCAGTAGGATAGGTAAAATGAGGTAGGCCACATTTTATATTGTGAACTCTCTTATCTCTCATCACCTAATCTTCTCTATACTGATAGAATATTGTACAGATTTCCATTCTTGAAATATTGACATAATTTTGATAAATGCTGTATTATTGTCTTATGTTTAACTTCTTTCATGAATAAGAAATATAAACTCTTAAAAATCTTATTTTGTCTTTTATTGTCTTTTGCAGTGTCATCTTATTTCCCATAGCCATAACCTTCTACCTTACTTGGAAACTCATTAATTTTGTGGATGGCTTCTTTTCTCCAATCTATAATCATCTTGGAATTGATGTATTTGGTCAGTACTACTTTCCTATTCTTTTTAGAAATTTAAGATCTTAAACATGTTATAATATGTGCATAACTATAAAAACTACATATTAAGCATAAAACGTGAAGTTAAAGTTAAATTGTTTTAATATCATTTTAGGACAGACCAATAAAAAAATAGTGATACATAAATTTGAATGAATGGAGTATTTAACTTGTTTAATTTTGAGGGAAAATAGTTCAGTTGACCCATAGGTCACAAGGTCACGGGTAACCTTGGAGTAACAATAAAGTTGTCTCCGTGTGACCTATAGGTCACGAGTTCTAACCGTGGAAGCAACCTCTAATGCTTGCATTAGGGGAGACTGTCTACATCACACCCCTTGCGGTGCGGTCCTTCTCCGCACCTTGTGTGAACACGAGATGCTTTGTACGTTTGTTCAATACTTGAATAGTTTGATTTTTATTTTATTTTTTTTTATGAACAAGTGCTGTATCTCACATAACTATTTCTATTCACAGGTCTTGGATTTTTGACCTCCTTAATTTTCATATTCTTGGTTGGGGTGTCCATGTCCTCATGGTTAGGTTCTTCTCTTCTTAGTTTAGGAGAATGGTTCATCAAAAAAATGCCCCTTATGAGTTATATCTACACTGCTTCAAAGCAAATTAGTCGAGCAATTTCACCAGGTAATTAAACCAATTTTTTTTAATTAAAAGTTGATTATGAATATTCCAAATTATATTAAACAGAATGCAGTAAATAAATTGTTTCAGATGAGGATTCACATGCCTTTAAAGAAGTGGCCATCATAAGGCATCCACGACTTGGGGAATATGCATTTGGCTTCATTACTTCAACTATTATTCTTCGTAAGAGTACAGGTGCAGAGGAAGTTTGCTGTGTTTATGTTCCCACTAATCACCTTTACCTTGGAGATATATTCCTTGTCAATTCTAAGGATATTATGAGGCCCAATCTCTCTGTTAGGGAGGGGATAGGTAAGAGTTTAAACTTCAACTTTCTCGTGAAGTCTGTTTGGTAAAACAAAAGTCATTTTTTATTTGTAAAATTTAATTTTTGGAAACATATTAGGCTTTTCGTTGGTGAGTGCAAAATACTTTCGAAAGAATTTACCAATTTTTTGATGGAATTTTTGAGTATTAACAATAATGTCTAGATATTAGTTATAACTAATATTAAGAAGTTAAAAGTTAAAATAAATTGTAACCAAAATGACTTGCGCCCATGTAGAAAATATTTTCTAATAACCAAACACCACAAAATGGAAGGGGAGTCTTGGTGCAACGGTAAAGTTGGCTCCGTGTGACCTATAAGTCGCAGGTTAGAACAGTGAAAGCAGTCATTAGTGCTTGTATTATGGTAGGTTGTTTATATCATATTCCTTGGAGTGCGGGCCTTCCCTGAACCTTGAAAAAATATGAGATGTCTTGTGCATCGGATTGCCCTTTAACTAAACACCAGAAAATATTATTTTCTAAAAATTATTTTCTTAGAAAATAACTTATGTCATACCAAACAGTTCAATTATATCTCAGGATGATATATGTAGTGGTCACCTTTACTTTTAAATGTTGCAGAAATTGTTATCTCTGGAGGCATGTCTGTACCCAAGATTTTGACCATAGTGGATGTGCAATCTATTCTATCTCCAAGAGTTGGAAAATTTGCTATTCCTCAAGTTTGATGATCAAACTGTTTCTACATCAGTATCCGTTGACAAATGTTAGAGTTGGGGAGGATGAACTGGACCAGTAAATTGGATGTTGGCTACCTTGACTTGCTGTTAATATTATTTAATAGATAGCCTCCCAGTAGATAATACTTTTAGCTCTGCTTCTCCTGATTCTCTTGTGGTCCCTACGTGAATGCATAATGTTTTGTGCATCGTTTGCCCTTTTAAGAGCTAGCATATAATGAGTAAGAAATATACCACATCGACTAGAGTGCGAGTTGCAATGTATTTTGAACTGAAAGCTTAACTTAAATACACAATGCTTATTAGAAGCTTTGTTTTGTAAATTTTGTCTCTCCCTTCAAATAAGTCTTTTGATATTATTGGAGTTTGATGGGCTTAAATGGAGCAATATGAACAGTGAAGATTCATACGGCCAATTTCAACTTACTTGAAATTGAGGCGCAATTAATATTCTTGTTGTTTATTTATTTGTTATATCGATCATCTAATTTCATCATCAGTGCCAATAAACTATTTGCGTGTTTACCCTAAAAAATAGATAACAATTGAATTTATATGTGGTTTTAATGATATGTGGATTAATTCAATACGAGTGATTAATGTCGTTAGACTAAGCAAATGAAAAATGTACTAGATGACCAAACCAATGATAGGGGTGATTCCGAGCTCGTTTGATGGCTCGATGAAGAACCCGCCCTCGATTCCAAGCTTATACTTATGAAGAACTTAAGAACAATAATAAGAACTTTGAACAACAAAGAGAATTAAAATAAATTATCTTGATATGCGTGTTACAATGTGTCCCCTGAATAATAATCTTTTCCCTTTATATAGTAGAGGAGTTTTACCCTAAGTACAATTCTAAGAAGGTAAAAATCTTCGATTTCGCTAATTACTGATTTTCTGCCGATACGGGCCGAGATTCATGCCGTGATATCCGGTTGGGCATGGACATCACGTTCTTCTGTTAGTTATGTGCAGCTATTTGATAATGCCCTCCGAAGTCTTAATCCTCGAACCGGACCCGGAGGACATAGCCCTGATACCCCCAAGGGCAGATGTTTTGCCCGAGACCCGATACGAGGGCTCCTCGCTCTGACTCCGATTCATTACGGTCACGTTCCTGCTCCATTTGGTTTACCGGGAGATCGAGGTGTTCAACGGGTCCTATTTTACCCGTATACAGATAGTCCCCCCGTTTCTCAGAGAGTAAGTTTGCCGAAACGATGGGAAACGACAGATGACTCTGGTTCCTTCCTTCGTACGTTATGACGAGGGAGCCGAAACGTCCCATCAATCACGTCGTTCTGACTTCGGACACGTGTCGCTCACCGGCAGGTTGCATCCGAATACGAAGCGTCGGCTATTTCCCTATAAAAGCTTCCTCCTTTTATCCTTTTTCTACTTTTCGAACAAATCACTACCTTCGAGCTTTCTAGCCATCATCAAACCTTCTTCAAACCTTCATATCTTCATCCTTGTTCTTCAATTTCCATAGCAATTTCCAGATTTCTCAAATTTTTAAACACTCCCCCACATGACAATGGCAAAACATCGAAAACCGTTCCTTAACAAGTTGCCTTTTTATCTTCTCAACCGGCCGCTGGTACTGAACCGGTTAACCCTGAGGTGGTTGCCCTCGAAACAGCTTCCCCCGTCATGGCTGCTAACGAACCGGCCGTCGAGCCTCCCTTGTCAGCGTTCATCCCTGGGGGCTGCTAAATTGCAGATGACTTTAAAGTCGAGAGACCCTTGCGCAGACATGACCGGGGCTGCTAAATTGCAGATGACGTTTTTCCCATAGTTCGTAAGAACTACAATTGGGAAGGCAAGAATGTAGTAGTCCCCGGGCCCGAGGACGCCGTTACTACCCACGTGGAGGGGTACTTAAGTGTTTACACTTATCCCTTCATGTTGGGCCTGATGGATCCGATCGTTCTAGATTTTTACAAGAGGTACGAGGTGTGTATCGGGCAAATCCACCCATCATTGTGGAGGATCGTGACCCTCCTTCGTTACTTCGTGAACAAGACCGAGTTTCGTCGGTTCACGATCAACCACATGCTTCGATTATTCAATCCCCGGATGTTTCGATGGGGACTGATCAAGCTTACTCGTCGGGCCAGCAAGGTCGTCTTCTCCAGTATCGACGAAGACCGAGACCGGGGTTGGCAGGGACACTTTGTCCGAGTGAAGACCGAGGATTTGATCCCTTCGGAATACATGTCATTCCTTGAGAAGTGGAATGCGTCTCTTAAGTGCAACTCCATCTCTCAACATAAATAATTCTTCTCCTTTCATTTCTATCTTCTCATTTATGCTTGTGGCTATGCAGATGTCACCCGGGTTCCGAATGCGGATCCCCGGTTAAAGAAGTGGATCGAGGGCATCTGTATTCAGATGGCCTACTTCGAGCACACATGGCACAGACTCTCGAAGGGCCGATGAGAGGTTTATTCTCATGGTAAGGCCTCTTTTCGAGTAGCCAACACTATTTATTTACCTTCTCTTATAATAACTCCTCTTCCTTCTTGGTTATTGCAGGTTTGCCTAAGACCACCGAACTTAGGCCTTCAGAAGGGGATGAAGATGTGCTCCCGCCCGTTGATCCCTCCGTTTCTACCACAGAGGGGAAAAAAAGAGGAAAATAAAACCCTCGGGCTCCCCGAGCTCTGAGGCGAAGAAACCGAAGAAGCGAGTGCTCCGCAAGCCCAAGAGGGGCTTTAGTTCCTGGGTGTGTCACTGTAACGACCCGGCCGGTCATTTCGAGAGTTATAACCCTGTTTTCCCCATTCCTATTTCTTTTTGTGCTATTCAGCTATATTATGTTATATCGGGTTAGTTGTTCGAGTCCGAAAAAAACTCGGGGTGAAATGAGACACTTAGTCTCATAATTGAAAAATTTTAAGTTAGAAAAGTGGACCGGATATGGACCTATATGTAAACGACCTCGGATTTGAATTTTGATGAATACAATAGCTCCGTATGGTGATTTTGGGCTTAGGAGCGTGTCCGGAATATTATTTAGAAGTCCGTAGAGGAATTAGGCTTGAAATGCCGAAAGTTTTATTTTGAGAAGTTTGACCGGGGGGTTAATTTTTTGATATCGGGGTCGGAATCTGATTCTAAAAATTGGAATACCTCTGTTATGTCATTTAGG